TATATATACCACTGTATACTCCCACATCAGTTATACTACTAATGTTCATATTACAGGAGCATATACTTCTATTATATATTACATAATTCAATTTTATGTACGACTACTATTAGGAAGAACAATTATATACTAGTGTAACATATTCTACTACTATATATTAATATGCATATACATATACATATACATATACATATACATACAAGCTACTATTGTATACTCTACTACTATATACATACACATAGTTCTACAGTACACTCTACTACTTTATACATACGCATACTACTACTTTATATTCTGTTACTTTATTCACTACTATACTATACTACTAAATAGTACTACTGTATACTCTACTACTAAATACATACACATAGCTCTACTGTACACTCTACTACTACGCATAATACTACTTTACATCCTGCTACTTTACTCTCTACCTTACAATTCAATATGGAGTGTAACTAAGTAAATAGTAATTTACGATAAGTAACAATAATTGACTGTCATTAAATGTAGTCAATAAATAAGTAGATAATGGTAATCTATGTCCCAACACGGACTGTTGGAGTCTATTTATATTACAGTATATTTACATGCTCTACCATTTATATATAAATTCAAATTCCATTCCAATATACTCTAGCCTTGAGTCCATAAACATAATCAGCCCAAGTTCAATAGCCAAAATCAATATTGCCTAATATAGACTTAACACACACATATACATATATCTCAATGTAGAGCGCCTCACGTGCATGACAGCCGTTAAAAGCATTTTGTTTCTATCGGACTGGGCATTGCGTGCTGTCGCTGACCTTTTCTTTTTGGCGGGCAGGTGTGCAAATAGGTGTTGCACGCGCTTCTATTTGCAGCAATTAAACGAGTCCCTCGGCTATTTTTGGCCGAGCTGGGTTCGTTGAGTTTCTTTGCAGCTCAGTCTCATACACGGCGCAGAATTTCTTGAACCGCCGCCATTTGTCAGCGCGTGGTGGGTGTTAAATAAATATTTTTATGCGAATTCCTGCTGTTGACCTTAAGCATAAATCTCGCGAGTCATTTATTTTGACTGGGCTCGGGCTTTTTAATTAATTCAACAGCTGGCTGGGCACCTTGTCTGCTTTACGCGCTGCTTTAATAGCGCTTTTATGAATATGCATCCACGAGCATATTAAAAGCGCGTCTAAAGCAATTTATGGCGCTGCTAGAAGCGCGATTAGAGTCCACGTAGCCCAAAAGTGATGGCCCCTGAAGCGAGATAACGCTCTGGTAGGGTAGCGGGCAGCGGGCAGCGGTCTGCGGACAGAAGGGCAGATGCTTTAAGATGCTGCCCGTTAACCCTAATCGGTCAGTTTCCTAAATTTGCTATTTGAGCCGAGCACTTCCGCTTGAGTACCGTCTCAATGTGCTGCTTGACGTCGACTGTTGAATGGGCCAGCGCTGCGTATACGCGATGCCTTACGTTTGACGTAACAGCTGGCAGGCGGGGCATCTGAAATGCCACGAGAGCGCCGCACATGCGTACCTCGAGTCTGCGATTTTCTCTTTGGCTCTTTCCGCTCTTAAGAAATTTGTAATTGTAATCAGTTGATTTTGATATCAGCAGCAGCAGCATCAGGCGAAAGGCCAATCTTGCGGCCAAGTGGCACATTTTCATACGCTAGCGGGCACACCTGAGCGCCAAGGTGCAATTAAATTCGCTGTCGTAGCGCCGCTGGCCCTCGGGACGCGCTAGATGCCGAAACCTGAGCAGCTTAGAGAAGCAAATTGTTGCACGCGCATATGAAATAATTGGAAATGTATATTTTTATTAGAATTTTAATCATTTAACGAACATTTGCAATAATTGTAATTTGATATGAGTAAGATAAAAAAAATAAATACAATATTCGTTTATAATTATAACTGTCAATAGAATTGAAATCTGAGCAGCAGAAGAAAATATTTTAAAATATCTAATATAATGAAAATTTATGGCAACATAATCAATTTTGCCCCAAAACAATTTCAGTTTTATTTATGTTTGACCTTAAGCACACATATGGATCCACATGAAAGGGTCTACAATTAGAAAAGTAACTCTGGGTCGAGAGTAAAGTTCATTGGGGCTGAAAGAGGCAACCTGAATGCCAAGCTAAGCCAAAGATTTTTGGGGCGAAGCATAAAAATTGGTGCGTGTCATCAAAATAGCTCATACGCCGCGTTGGCCATCAAAAAGAAATGTAATTAGATGACAGTAGATTGGGTGCACAGACGTAGGGCTCGCAGCTCTTTCGAAACTTTGTTGCTTTGTCTCTTGCTGTTTGTTGTTTGTTGTTCGTTGTTCGTTGTTTGCTGCTATGCGAGCAAATTTAATTTGTTTGTCCTGCAATTCATTTGCCGAGTCGTTGACTCCTAATGCACACAATCAAGACATTGTTTTGCCATGTTGACTTGTTGCCAATTTTAGCTTGAGTTGGCTCAGCGATTGTTTCGCCTTTACCGTCGGGTTCCTTGACATTCCATGACTCAAGAAAATTCTTTAAATATGTAATTATATCGATGCGCACATAGCCAGAGAGCCAGACCTTCCATATGAGTTTTTCTAATCTACAAATCTACAGCAGCTCCGCGCTTAAAGCTCACAGTTCACGCATCGCGCATACGCCACATGAGCACGTCCTTAATACGCCCCGTACGCTGTGTGCATTTGTCAAAACTGAAAGTTTTGCCGAAATGTGCTTTTCATGTCATGCCATGCCAAACACCGGATGCACGCTAACGCCCACCCCGCAAGCCACAAATAAGCGCACACATACAGTGGTAAATGTTGGCCAACTTTTCTGGAATTTATTTGATTTATATTAAATTTGAAACTATCTAGAAAAAACAAAAATGCAAGTTATGTATCGATTTTAGATATTAGATATATTGTCTGAGTCACATTTCATTCAACATTGATTCGATGCTTGCCAAGCTTGTTGAATATTTCACTCAGTTTAATGTGGCTGGGCTCACATAAGCACCTACATATATACACCTATGTATATGTGTATGTTTAGTAACAACTACTGTGTGCGGCTGTCACCTCCGCCCTTGGCTCCGCCTCTTCAGTGCGCACACTGACTATCAATCAGCTTCGAGCGCTACATTTATCACATAGCTAATCAAACAGAAAGCATTCTCTACTTCAATTACACACACGCGCATACCTTTTGCACATTCGCCCTTCTCCCTTAAACAGCAGCGAATATGCGAGTCTGTGATGCTGTTTATATGAAACACATAAATATTAAAGGACCTTCTCTAAATTTCTGCTTAATCTCAATTTATAATAATTTTATATTAAAGTGAATCGCAGCGTGGCTTGGGTATTCTGCTTAGAAGAGACTCATAAATATTGAAGGAACTTTTTCTAATTTTCCGCTTAATCTTAATGCACAACAATTCTATATTAAAGTGAATCGTAACTATATTCGACTTACCTTACACAAAACACATAAATATTAAAGAAACTTCACTGAATTTTTTCTAAGTTAATTTATATTAAGTTATTAAGTTAATCGTTGATCTGCTCTCTGCTTACAAAGGCATAAATATGCAGAGTTTTTATAAATATTTCGTTTAATCTTACTTTATATTTTCAATTGAAAGTGAATCGTGTTTATGTTTAAGTTTCATACATTTATCATAGATAATAGAAAATTTATATGTAGCATAAATTTTATTTAATAATTTTTGAATTTCTTATAATTATTTCAAATGAGAGACATACATGTGGGATAAAAAAAATATTGTGAACACAAAGCCCAAATACGATCGACTCTTTATATAAATTCACTCTCTTCACTGCATATTTTAATCATCAAACATGATTTTTTTCTGTATTTTAAAGACGGTTGTATTATATAATTTACACAATGTTTATTAATTATTGATTAAATATGAGTTACAATAAATTATGAATACGCAGCTAGTTAGAGTTTGTTCGTTACAAAGTTTCAGTCAGCAGCTGGTTGCCCCTTGCACCGGTCTGGAATAGTTGGTGGAGCTGGTGGTCATCGACTGCAACTCGGTAGTGCGCTTCTGCACGTCCATTTTCATCTTGGTGGGGCAGAGCAGGCCTATCCAGGCTCGCCGATTGACCTCGTCGAGCAGCACAAAGTAGATGAAGAGCACGAAGCCCTGCAGCGTGGCCGTTAGGCAGAAGAGGTACGAGAATGCCACGCCCGCCTGCATGTAAGCGAAGATGCCAAAGATCCAGGACAGGCCGAGCAGGAAGAAGAGCAGCACAGACAGACGAATCTGTTTGTGGACCAACTTGCGCTCCGCCCGCTGAATGCTCTGGCTGAGCGAGTGCGAAATGCTGTAGAAGACGTACACAAAGATCACCAGGTTGGCAACCGTAATCAGCGTCACGGGCAGCACGATGCCGAAGGTGAGCCCGTAGCCGGAGGGATAGCAGATGCCCGTGTCCGTGGCCAGCTGCTCGGCCGTGGGCACATACGACTCCGGATCGATGCACGCCACCAGCAGCGTGGGCAGCAGGGGCAGCAGCCAGGCCACGAGAGCCGCCTTCAGGATGTAGCGACGCGGCCGCTCGACGCCAATCACCGTGACGTAGCGCTGGAACTGCAGGAAGGCGATAATCAGCATCCAGCTGAACAGCACCAGAATGGTGTACTGCATGGCAGCGCCCAGCAGCACACAGCGCACGTTGTCGCCATGGACGACCAGCTGCTCCGAGATGTCGTCCGTGTTGATGAACACGAAGAGCACCATTTGCAGCATCATGGCCAGGCAGAGGTGCATCAGCACTTTGGTGGACGCCTGACTGCGCCAGCTCTTGAACAGCAGCGCTGTCAGAAAGATGCCCAGCACGCCGAAGAGCGACAGGCAGCAGCCCACAATGGAGATGATGTCCAGCACACGCTCATTGATTGGGGTCACTAGCACCTCGTCGCCAAGGTCGTTGCTGCGATAGCTGCCGCCCACCAGGTACGAGAACTGGGTCAGGTGGCGCGTTTGGCAGACGACTATCGGATCCCGCAGCAGATCCGTTCCATTGCTGGTGGTGATGCCGTCGCTCACCCAAGTCTGGTAGTTCCAGTAGCCACAGCCGCAGCCTGCGTTGACAGCCCGCGTGTCCGGCTGCCGATGGTTCTCGTTGCGCAGCAGGAAGGGAAGCGGCTGGGGCAACTGCGTGCCTAAAGCAAGATCAGGTTACACACGCATCGTAGCCATGGAAGGATTTACTTACCCTCGCAGCCGGGTATCGATATGGACAAGACTTTGCTGCGCGGCCTGCGACTGCGTTGCGGAGCTGTCTCCACAAAGAGCCCGTCGTGGCCATAGATCTTGAGTATCAAATACGTGGCGCCTCTCTGCTTCAGCTGCTTCCACAGCTGCTCTGGCACATACGTGGCCGTCTCCAGGTCCTGTTCCCGGCGCAGCTTCTCCAGGTTCTCGTTGGCATAGAGAAAGCGAAACCAAAACTGGCTGACGGCCTGCTTGCGATCTGGAGCTGCCGCTGAATATATAGCTATGCCCGTGATGCTTTCGCATTCGGGATTCACATAGAAGACGCTCAGGTTGCTGCTCAACATGGCATGCACGCCGAGATTGGCATTATTGAGGATTTCCATGCCACTGGCAGCCACCTCGCCAGCCTCGCCAGCCGCATGAACGACGACCCTGCCGCAACGCTCTCGGGGCACAAGCTGCTGCGGCAGTGCATCCATGTAGTCCTCGAATTTGTTTAGCAGCGAGTTGGTCGCATTCAGCTGAGCCGAGAGCTGCAGAACCTGCGCATCGCTGGACATGATTTCGCGACAAATGCTGATCAGATCGGCGCTCAGTGCGGCGTCTTTCTCCTGCTCCAGCAGCTCCCCGAACACCTGGCCCACCACATGCACGTCGGCTGGCAGCAGGGCCTTGTCGTGCTGCCGGAACATGTCGCGCATCATTGCCGTGGTGCCACGACGCTCCTGGGTGCTGTTGGCACGCCTCCTGCCCTCCAGCATGTCGTCGTGCAGGCTGTTCAGCTCCACGCTGATCGATCGCTCCCGGAATCTGCGCATGCACACCACGTACGGCCGCTGGTCGAGCGACTCCCACCGCGCTCGCATGCCCCACACCTCGCACTTGCGGGTCACGGGCAATCCATTGCGCAGCAGGCAGACGTCGTGCAGCGTGCCCACCTCGCCCGCTCTGGTCCGCTTCCAGCTGTTGACATGCGGGCTCTGGTCGTGATTGCGTACGATGTAATCGTGTTTAAACGTTTCCGGTTCACAGTGCTGGGCATTGCAGTAGACCAGGCCAGTTATGTCTGCCCTGAAGAGCTTCTCCACGCAGCGCACGGGCGTATTATTGCGGCTCTCTAAACTGCACAGCTGGTGCTCCACCGGACAGTCCTCCCACTGCGACTCGTCACTGTCATCGCTGTCCGAGTTCCCATAAGCTCTGCCCGCCGATACCGTCAGTGCCACTAGTAAATAGCCGAGCACATTCATAGCTTCTGACTCAGCAACGTCTGAAGCTCTCCAATTCAATTTGTCACGCGTCCGTCGCTCGGCGAATGTCGCGCTCAACTGCACGGCGGACTCACTCGCCTAGCTGACGATCGCTTTTATTTCTTATCACAGTTTGCAGGGCGATCGCTTATCGTCACATTGTTGTATTTTTGTTTTTGCTTCGAGCACTACCAACTAATTCCAAATAAGACACTGTTACCCGTTTTATCTGCGACCGATAACGCTCAATGCGAACTTCAGTCGATTGTTTGATTTGTTATTAGCACTCAAGCGCAAATTTGTTAGAGAGAATACCTCAAAAGAAAACAAAATTTAAAAAAAAAAACTCATGTCTCAGGGCTATCAATGTGACGTATGAAGTTTGTCTAGTCCACTAATTCATAAAACACGCAGCAAACCTTCAAACTATGACCTAGGCCATAGTAAATAGTCAAATTATGAATTAATATTATTTTACTTTAGTTGAGAAAAAGGTCTTCAAATATCCAAGCAAAGTTCATACGAATTATCGTCTTAAAGTCAGACCACAAATTCCTGCTAAATGTTCATTATTGAGGTTTGTTTCTGATGCGTCATAGTACACTATATATAGAAGACTTCCACATTTATATGATTCATAGGAATGTATATCTGGCCCAGAGAAGTTCCGCTGGGTGCTAGACCAAGACACAACTCATAACTCAAGGTGTTTGGATAAAACTCAAAAACCACTCACTCTTAACATCAATAACTAAACATTATAACATGCGATCGTAAGCATTTGTGCGACATGGAAATCCACTTGAAACTGTGTTGGGTTTACCAGGCTTAGGCTTAGCTTGATGGCGCTTTAGGTAAGCACTCGTTCGATAATCTATATTGCTGCGTTTCGTGACACGTTCGGCTTGAGGACCTGAAAGCTGCGTGGGTTTCAGCGTTTCCTATTTACAGAACTTGCCCAACTTGTTGACACGTTTTCAATTATCTGACGAATTCAAATACTATCTGCCATACAGCATAATGTATGACGAGTATGAATTTTATTAGGCTTCACAGAATGTTCACACACTTAACCCTCATACGCATATAAACATAAGCGCGTGTGTATGCGTGTGCTGTGAGAGTTGGTGTGTGTGTGTGCGGGTGTTAGCTGGCTTTCAATCAAAAGTGTCACATTCACATCTCGACATTTTTACTTCATCCCTTTATAGCTTTATGGCTGGCACTGTGAAAGGTGCCACGTGTCAGACGTGAAGCAATGAATTATACAACATTTTGTGGCTGCCACAACTAAAAACGCCTTCAGCTCGAGGTCGCTTGTGAATGGGTAATTTTTTTAGAGCTATATTTCCTAAATTTTTTTTTTTCACAAATAATTCAAATAGAAATCCAAAATGAAAAAATTGAGGAAGCATGACGCATATAGGATTCAAGTAGAGTAAGCTATAGCGAAATATGGTTTGATTAAGCCATAATCATTAATTGTATATGCATATGCTACTCAGTTTTAAGCCATTAAGTTTTACTCTAAACGGAGTTTCTATTATAGTCCTCTTAAAATCATTCTGTATTTCTGTTTAATATTTGACATATTGATAAATTCAAGAGCAAAACATATTTGCAGCACGCATTGTTTACCTGCTGCAAATCAAATATTTATAAACAGAGCATCAAATACTTTAAGCAAACGTCCTCTGAGCAAATTCAAATAAATTTTATCTTGAATTATTTAATTGCCAGCGTTTGCTCTGGATTAAATATTAAAATTGGGGCGCCGCAAGGCAAACGCCAATTAGTGGGCTGCAACAATAGCCGAAAATGCCGAATGCAAAGCCGTCAAGTAAACAAACTTTGGTCAAACGGGGCCAAGAGTCGGACTTTCTGGCAACCGGCAGCAGTTGGCGAACGAGCGGTCGACTAACAAACTCTCTGCTCATTTGAGCTGCTCAAACAGTTAACACAGTGCGGCCAAGAAAATCACTCCGCAAACCTCCGGCAGTTGCACAGGGCAGTGAAGGGCAGGACACGGGGTGGCTGGCTGGCTGGCTGGCTGGCGACTGGGCCACCAAGGAAAGTAATAAATTTTCCAGTGCCTCTTAACCGCACGACCACAACGCAGACGCTGACGCAGATGCCGACGCTGACGTCGACGTCGACGGCAAAGGCGACATTGCTGCATTGTTGCAATGCCTGAGCTACCCGAGGCTTGACAAGGTTAAAAGCTGTGCTGGATGTCGGGGGTAAATGTGATTAGGGTTGACTTTCACAGCGATAAGTTAGAGGTACGAGCTGACCCGTAATACCAAATACAAAAAAAAAAAAAAAAAAAACGAATAGATAAGATTGTGGATAAAGTATATGATGAATGAAAGGCAAAAATAAATAAATAAAAATAAATAAAGAAATGCATAAAAGTGGAAGCGAAGGGGAGGCGCTTGTTGCCAAAAAGTTGGCAAAAATTCAACTGTCATTGCCAGGCAATGATCCATATCGATATTTAAGCGTTTTTGAACGACTCGCACGCACATGCCATTTATATTTATATTAAGTACCTACACACACACACAGACACAGATACACAAGTGCGTACAAACACTCGCTTAATGTTTGCTCCATAAAAATTGGAAAAGTTGCGTTGACTTTTCAAGCACTTAAATGTCGCGTCTGCCATTAAGATGTTTTGCATCAAGTGGATAACAAAATATGCCCATATGTATGCTAAAGCTACATATAGAGAGTTGCATATATACAGGCCTATACACATATACATACATATACACATTCATTAACTTTTGTTAAAAGCGAAACCTTACCTCATTTGCTTGTATCCACTCAGCCATTGTGTGGCTGGCATTCCGCTGAAAACCACACGTCACCAACCACAATTTTCATTTGGCCCACTGCTAATACCCCTCTTGCCCCTCGCCAACTCCCGTCAATTGCAGCAAAGCAAAGCAGCTCACCCTGCGGCTGACTTAAATTGAATTCTTTCGCTGGCATCGCTTTACCCGCATTTTATTTTGTTCTTCTTCTTTTTTCTCCTTATTATTTTGTTGTTTAAGACAACAGGTTTCTGGAATTTAATGAAATTAGGCAACGGGCCTTGTTCTTGATGGTCTTAGCAGCTGCCTGTCTACATTTTTAAAACATACACAATATACAGGGTTACTGCGGATCATAAGCCGGAGCCCACTCCTTGTTGGCCTGCAGCTCAGACAGTATTTACACGTATCTTGATTGAAATTTTTTGTTGTTGTGATATACATATATGTATTAGGGTCATATATGATACGCAGAGAGCAATTGAGATACAGAGCTTATAAAAAAAACAGTCTCAAGTGAGTCTATTGGGTGTTAGGAATGAAAGAGTGAGTGTTTTATCATCTGTAAATTTTCAAAATGAGCTTTCTATATTTACTAAATATTTTCTGATGAAAATAAAAATTAACTAAATGAGGTATTTAATCTTGTCTTTTATGTGGCCCTAGGTTTAATGTAATGTAGTAAAAATTTGGTGTCTGAATGAATCAGTTATTTAAGCATCTACAACAATTTTCTCTCCATCTTTCTCTCGCTCTGTATGTAACCATATATTTGTCTATCCTTATCTTTCCCTGGCTATCTATCTACCGCTCTTTCTTTCGCTCTATCTATTTACCTCTCTCTATCTCCTCTCCCTTTTCTAACCTATCTCTTTCTCTCTCTCTCTCTCTCTCTCTCTCTCTCTCTCTCTCTCTCTCTCTCTCTATTTGTCTATCACCCTCCATCTTTCTCTGTCTAGCTCTTTGTGTTTCTCTCTCGATCAATGGATCGCTCTCCCTCGCTCTCTCGCTCTCTCTCTCTCTCTCTCTCTCTCTCTCTCTCTGTCTATCTTTCTCTCTTTCTCTCTTCCTTTTCCCACATTGAGACCTCTATTAAAATGCATTTAATTCAATGCAAACAGACAGCAGCTCAGACAGCATCAGCTGGCACATGAAATTGAATTTTTGTTGACTCAGTCTCGGCGTCACCCTGTATATGCAACGGATTATGTTTATATGGGCTTATACGTTTTTAGCTGCTTTAGTTTCGCACAATTCGTATGGCAACAGGCCTTATTTACGCACACGCAGCGTGAACTTTGACATAGGAGCAGCGGCAGGAGCAGCGGCAGGAGCAACAGCAGCAGCAGGAGCCGCCGCCACAGAAGGCGCCATAGGTGGCACCAAAGCACACATGTGGCCAGTCGGTCTACGGGTGTGCGTGTATGTGTGTGTGTGTGTGTGTGTGTGTGTGTGTGTGTTTCGGTAGAGTTGTGCCAACTTTTACAGTTTAATTTAATCAAAGCGTCTGTCGACTCTGGCTGCTGCCAACGACAGCATCTAATTTCATTTGAAAAAGTGATATGGGCAAAGAGGGAGGAGGGAGAGCGAGAGAGAAAGAGGGAGGAGAGAGAGCGAGAAGTTGGCTCAGCTAGTGACATATGATGCTGTTTGCATAAAGTCTTAACTGGATTAGCTTCTGTGTAACAAGTGCAGCCACAACATTTGCATAGACTTGAATGCCAGCTTTGATTTATGGACGGCTTTAGCTTGCACTTAAATCACAAATTTCATTTAACTTGTCTATCACCACACACACACACCTAGTGGAATCAAGTGAAATGAGTAGAATGTTGTTTTCCTTGAGATCTAATTAATTTCACTCACATACACAAAAATGAAAAACTTTTCAATTAAAAATTCGCTTTGCGTTCTGTTCCGCTGTGGGGAAAATAAAGCTCGCTCATAAGACAAAAACTTGTGTGGCGAGTTAGACAGAGAGCGAGAGAGAGGTATAGATAGAGAGAGAATGGGAGGGAGAGCGAGTGGGAGGCAATGCTCTGATAATGCATGAGAAACATTTCTAATGAAAAAGCACTTAGTCTCAGACAGTGAATTCCACTTCGGATGTGCTGCAGTTCATGTTCGAGAAGTCTAATCCGTGTCAGGATGGCGGACTGGCGGACAGGCTGACTGGCTGGGCGGGTGGCTGGGTAATGG